TTTCAATCGGTACAGATTAAAGCCACTCCAAAAACCAACCGTCAAAAAGACATGTTCGGTGAATCTCAATCGACTATTGGCAGATCCAGAGATTTCGACCAGATGGAGCTTGGCATCATTCCCCCATCGAGTGTGCCTACTATACCACAATCCAAAGCTCGCCCTTCATATGATCTTGATCCCTTTCGAGATTCTGTACAAGCGACTCCAACTCGAAAGCCCCTTTCAAGTTCGTTTAGATCTACGAGCAATCTTACAAACTTTGACGCTGATTATGGTGCAATACCACCTTCTTCACCGTTGCAAATGCGCCGCTCTAGTGCACAACTGTTCAACAGCATTCCTGATCCCGTTGTCAAAAGGCCTTCTCTGTCCTCTGTCCCAAGTAACTTGGAAACACCAATCAAAAGGCCTTCACCTTCAACATTGTTTACTGGTATACAGGAAACGCCATTGAAGGAAACACCACTAAAGGAAATACCGTTGAAAGAAACACCGATAAAAGACACTCCAGTCCGTAAAATATCAGAATGGATATCAGGTTACACCCATCCTGCGGGCTCTTCAAATGAAGACCAAGAAAATATAAGAGATGTGCCAGTAGCACTAGAAAAGATGAAACCCACACAAGTTTATAAGAAAGAGGTATCGTATTATGAGGCGTTAGGGTGGAATGATGATGATATTGATGACTTGGCATGATATAATTGCATTTGAATGGTTTTCATGAATGGTTGGCTGCATTGCGTAGGGTTCGGGTTTAGCATAGCATTGGCGTATTGTATGAATTATTTTTCAACTTGGCGTTGCATCGCATATCTTACCTAGTATACACACTTCCATAGGTATTTGCGAGATATAAATACATGAATATATGAATTATTAAATTATCCAAAACTTTCAAGAATGATATTGGAAATAATCAGCAATCAACAACTTCTCCTTCTTGCTTAACCCTACCCTACTCCTACAACTACCTACCCGTAACCTTACATGCCTGACTTTTCGTCCCAGCACAACTTCCAAAACATTAGCTTAGCTTACCTTACCGTTAACCGGGAAGCAAGCAACGGAATAGCAAGTGGAGCATGGCGGGGACCGCGATAAACAAATTGATAATGATAAACAAACTTTATGTGCATTTGCATCCATCTCTGGAAGAGAAGAAGAAAAAAAATGTTTCAATAAATCCACGTCGATTTCTTCTGGTTCTTTCTATTGGATTCTAGGAATTGATTGATTGATTGATTGATTGATTGATTGATTTAGTTCATTGATTGCAGAGCGGAGCACTCAGAGCTGAATCCCTAGTATTAATATCTAGAATCTGACTCTGTCGCCGAATTCATTCGATTCGATTTGATGCGGTTGAGATTGAGATACTGCGACTAGAAGGAAAGAAGGAACGATCAATATCAATATCAAGAAAACGAATAAGATTCCCATTGAAAAGAAAAGAAATTCTATTTTATTCTATTCTACTCTCGGAGATTTTGATAAAATAAACACACACACACACACACACACACACACACATACAAAGGATCCGAACTCGTTACCACATAAAGAAAAGGAAAATTGACAAGCCATTCCCAACGCTCTCGTATCTGTCGCTCGCGCAAGATGGATATTCTGGCGCTCATTCAGGCTAATCCTGTTGTCAATGGTATGTCTGCTTGCATTTCTCTTCCTCCTTCTCTACTATGCTAACCCTCTCTTCCAGATATCTACCACCACCTCTCTCCCTACCTAATGCAAGCGTATCCCTACCTCCTGCGCGCCTATCCGCTCCTCCACAGCACGTACATCTCTCTCTTTAGCAATTTCCTGCACCCCCTCTACCTCTTCACCATAACACACATCATGCCGCTGCTCCTCCCCCTCCTCGAAGCCACCCTCAAAGTCGCGAGTCAAAGTCCCGGTATCGCTGTCGTGGTGGGAGTTTTGGCAGTCATCTGGTTTATCTTTTTCCTGATGAGTTTGATGCGTAGGATGGTGGCGTGGGGGTTGCGCATGGTGTTTGGATTGGTGTTTTGGGGGTGCTTGGGGGGGTGACGGTGGTGGTTTTACAGAGAGGGGTGGGGAGAACTGGGGGGAATTGGTAGAGGGGGGAGGTGGGTGTTGGATGTTTTTTGGAGTGAGTATTTGAAGGCGAGGAGGGAGCAGGAGATGAGGGGGTGAGGGGTTGGTCTGATGGGGAGGTCTTTTTGTGATATTGTGGGTTGGTGGGTTTGATTGGCGTTTGGGTTTGGGTTGGATTTGGATGGGTTTTGTGATGATATGTGAGGAAAATGGGGAATAGCAATGGAGAGGAAGAGGCGGGCGGGTGATGGGGAAATGTATTGGATAGAAGGATATATGCTTCGGAGCATCAGCAATGATTGGATGAGAGTTGTAATTACCATCTGCCATCAGCGAATAGGGCAACTTAACAATGAACATAATACGAAGTTATGCGGACATTTGCACATTTTGAAGAGCAGGCTCGGGACCGAAAATATAAAATCTGTAGATAGCTCCAATCTTCCATACTTTTTGATATTCTTGGATATGATAATTCACCAAACAAACGCCAACGCTATGCATCATACAATTATTTCTCCTTAACGCCAGTTCGATACCCTCTCCAAGTCCATGCCTTCTAACCAGCTATGCGCCTCTGCTTGTGTCAAGATTCGAAGTATGCTTGACTACCCATCTTTGCAGCTGTCTGAATATTCCACATAGCCCATTTTCATTTTGTTCCAATATCCCAAACCAAGCCAACTTATTCTGCCTCATCATATTCCACCTCATCATTTGGTTCCTTTGGTTCTTGCGCCTCATGAAATTGAATAGCATCATCAATATAACTCAAGATTCCTCCAACGCTATCCTCACTCTGCACATCCAACCTCAAATACGAGACCATACTGAAACTGTCAATCAAACTCGCAACCGCCTTATTCAATCTGCGGAAACTGTTCCCCTTCATCAATGTCTGCGCATCCTTTGCTTCACCCTCTCCATCATCTTCTTCCTGATCATCATCCAATAACGACGTATCCGGATCCAAGAATCTTTTGAGTTCTCTCTTTGCGACTTGTCCTTTTACTAAATCCATCTTGGATAGAATATTGACGTGTGGAACCTCGAGCATAATCATCGCACTCATAGCAGATAAAGTACCCGCGAAAAACTTCGCACGATCAACCACAAACGTTGCTTCCAACAAATACGCCGCGCATAGATTAATATCCAGTGCGCCCGTCTTGGTCAAGAATTTTACCAGAGCAGGTAAGATTGGGATATGTGTGTATAATTCTATCTGGCCCGGCATATCGATGATAATAAGATATTCTTCGGTGAGAGGCTCAATGGCTTCGGAGAGAAAATCGAGATTTTCGAGGAGGAATTCGAAACAATAGATGAGACCGCCGTTGGGGCCGAGACTCATTTCTTCCATGACATCTTCAAGGGATATAAGATCCTTGATATCGAGATCGGGTTCGTGGGAGAAGGTTTCGGCGGCCGGGTCAAGGTTGATGTAGAAGCAGGAACGACGATTGTTTTGGAGATGATTTATGAGACCGGTACAGAAGGTTGTCTGGAGGTAAAGGAGAAGGAGATTAGTATATATCTCTCTCTTGACAGGAGAATATTCACAAAAAATCAAGACCTTTATTTGGGTATGGCTGAAGGCCTGGAAATATAAGAAAGGCGCGCATAAATGGAAAGACTTACTTTTCCTGCACCTGCAGGTCCCATTACTAGGACACCGAATTTACTCATCTTGAAATTATGGTAGGTACCTGGTATTAGTGATGAGTAGATGATATGCGACGACAATAGTATTTGTATTTGTATGTAAATAGTGAGCCCTGGAGAGCAATGATATTTTGGAAATACCTATTATCAGACTTGTAAAATGTTGATAGTGGGGTAGCTTCTATCAGTAAAAGAAAAAAAGGTTCAGCCTTCTCCTTTTCTGCTTACCTAAGCGGCCAAAAGTTTCTTTGCACGAGGCTGAGAATGGAATGTTTCCGGAAGGCGTAGAGATTTATTATTATCATTAGGAGAAAGTTAGAAGGTAATTAGCACCCACCTAACCTACGGGATGCTAGGCAAGGGCCGTCTCGGTACGAGTGTACGAATCTTTCTCAACAAACTACCACAACGATATATCGATATCAAACAAACTGGATCTATTGACAATTTTCCGGCGGCAATGTTACCCAAGAGACTACATGTACTACATAGGCAAGTCAATGGAGCGGATGTGATGATCTAGAATGCCCAAGCATAGTATGATCCGGAATACCACAAACAATCTCGGAGCGAAGGGTATCTTGAATCCCAATGTTCGGCGTCCGAGATGTATCCTAGGTGATTGAAACCAATGGACCACTATTGACACCATCAACCAATCAACACATTCAACATCTCCAGATCATCATTCATACCTGTATGGTAACCTGATAAAGGCAACTGGAACTGCAAGTCCCTCATCCTAAATACCCCTGTATGGAATCAACATGGGATGTATGGAATCAATCTTGCATGAGCATCTCTGAATCTTACATACAAATTGCGACTTTGCGAAATCAAAAGGAAAGAAAGGGTTGACAGCGGTGAGGTGTCCGGTATCATATCTACCTAGGCATGGGAAAATATGCTACTGGACTGTCGGCCAGCCTGGCAGTCTCTATTGGGAACTAGGGAGGTATTCTGTCCCAGTCCTGGAGAGATGGTGCAATTCTCCCATTTCATTACTAGCCAATTGGAATTCGTAGCACAGACATATTCTTTGTTTAACCCCACCTTCCCCCCAAAAATCCCAATCACAAACTTTTCCTTTTCCTTACATACTACATAGATCCTTTTCTTCCGACCCCTCAACCTTTTGACTCTTCTCTTCTCCCTTTAAAAACAACACTTCTCAATAATTTGTCTTTTTCTCCCATTTTCTCCCAAACAACTCTCTCTTCTCCATCATCTCCTCACATATACCAACCGCAATCATGGTTCAAGCCAACGGATCAAATGGGGTTTCCCACCACAACCAAGGAACCTTCCTTTTCACCGTAAGCTGGCCTTTTGACTCGATAACAAATTTTCCTTACTGATCATTCTCTCTAGTCCGAGTCTGTTGGTGAGGGACATCCAGACAAGATCGCTGATCAAGTCTCCGATGCTATCCTCGATGCCTGCTTAGCTGAGGACCCTCTCTCCAAGGTTGCTTGTGAGACTGCTACCAAGACTGGTATGATTATGGTCTTTGGTGAGATTACCACCAAGGCACGTCTCGATTACCAAAAGGTTATCCGTGGAGCCATCAAGGATATTGGATACGATGACTCTTCCAAGGGTTTCGATTACAAGACTTGCAACGTTTTGGTTGCCATTGAAGAACAGTCCCCAGATATCGCTCAAGGTCTTCACTACGAGCAAGCTCTTGAGCAATTGGGTGCTGGTGATCAAGGTATCATGTTCGGTTATGCCACTGATGAGACTCCTGAATTATTCCCTTTGACCCTTCAATTGGCACACAAGCTCAACGCTGCTATGTCCGCTGCTCGCAGAGACGGAAGCTTGCCATGGCTCAGACCTGATACCAAGACTCAAGTTACCATTGAGTACAAGCATGACAACGGAGCTGTCGTCCCACAAAAGGTTCACACCGTTGTTGTCAGTGCTCAACACGACGAGAACATCACCACCGAGTCTTTGAGAAAGGAGATCTTGGAGAAGATTATCAAGAAGGTTATCCCAGCTGAATACTTGACTGAGGAGACCATCTACCACGTAAGTTTAATTTTAATCATATTGCGATAATAATTTGCTAACATATTCATTTTCAGATCCAACCATCCGGACTTTTCATCATCGGTGGACCTCAAGGAGATGCTGGTCTTACTGGCAGAAAGATTATCGTCGACACATACGGTGGATGGGGTGCTCACGGTGGTGGAGCTTTCTCCGGAAAGGATTTCTCCAAGGTCGACAGATCTGCTGCCTACGTCGCTAGATGGATTGCCAAGTCTTTGGTCAATGCCAAACTTGCCAGACGTGCTCTCGTTCAACTTTCATACGCCATTGGTGTCGCCGAGCCACTCTCTATCTTCGTTGACACATATGGTACATCCGACAAGACCTCTGATGAACTTGTTGAGATTATCAGAGCCAACTTTGACTTGAGACCTGGTGTCATTGTCAAGGAGCTTGATTTGGCTAAGCCAATCTACTTCAAGACTGCCAAGAACGGTCACTTCACCAGCCAAGAATTCAGCTGGGAGAAGCCAAAGACCCTCAAGTTCTAAATAAAAATATAATAAACTCAAAACACAACATCAGTACAGGACTCAACGTCCTTGTACAACCAGGATTCCCTGTATTTCCTACGGATATCTAACGGCGCAATGATTGATGAAAGGCATGGTCTCAACGACCTTTGGGGCCAATACATGGCGGGAGTTTTTTATGATATCATTCACATTTTTTTTTACACCTGCTTTGAACAGCGCTTTATTGCATGACAAAAGCACTATTTTCTGAGTTTCTTCTCATTTGTTTTTCAAGAATAACTTACAGCAAAAGACACAAATGAAGATAAAAGTCTTTCAACATAGACCGTAGATATGGCGGGCAATGGATTATTACTCTTTTCGGGGATGGGAGGTGTGGCATACATAGCATTCGGCGTTACGGAGAACTTCAACATCTTCAATATAGTCGGAGAATACCTTGGGCAGGTTGCCTTGGAGAGGATTCTCAGTTGCTATTGTGCATGGAGCTCAACTTAGTTCGATTTGAATTGAGGATAGACGATCATCTCATCATGATTTGATGGTTAGAAGAATTGTTTTTTTTGATTTAGTGGGGGGATAGCAATTTAAGAATACTGTTCTTCCTCTACTTTTATTATTTGATATATGCATATTAGTGATATGACGTGAATTTAACTATTTGATTCGTGTAGACTCGAGAACTTGGATCAATAGTCACATCAACAGCCCTGGAAATTTCTCATACCTGTATTCAAAATTTGCCAAAACTTTCCTCGAAAATTTGTATCTCTTTGATAAAATACTTGCCATTGTGCAGAAATTTCCCTTTGTGGATGGGTTCGTATTGTTCGCAAATTCTTTGATGTGTTGTATACTTACTTGGTAATGGGATGGATGGCACGAGGCTGAGCTTGAAAATTGCTTTCCAGTCTTATTTGATAGGTGAAGGAAGGATTCAGGGGAAATTTCCAAAATAGTTGCGGTGGATAGAATCGGGCTTGGAGGTTGGAGATTAGAGAGGGAGAAGGGGGGTATCTGGGACAGAGTATTGAGTATTGGAGATTGGGGACTGAGTAGAAAGTGTTGGAGTCGTGTGTGTATGTATGTATGTAACTGGGTGGGTAGATGACGAGAGGGAGAGCGCTAGTGGGTATCTTCGGTCTTGGGGTGGAAGGTTGTGGGAGGGGTGAGTGGGTGAGTGGGTAAGTGGGTGGATGAGAAGGAGGTATTGTGTTGGTATTTGGTTAAGAGTTGGGGTTGGGGATGGAGAGATCTGGGATGAAGGGAAATGAATGGTGATGTGATGATAGGTATGTATGTATGTATGTATGTATGTATGTAAAATAGAGATGGAAGAACAGAAAGAAGAGATAAGGGGTGGAAGAGCTAGAAGAGGAAGAAATTAAGGGGGGTCGGCTCATGGGGTGTGGATGGAAGTGAGAATGAGAATGAGAGGGAGTGGAAGTGGATGAGTGTGGATGGGTGGGTGGGTGTTTGGAATTTATGTTTGTTGAGTGTGAATGTGGAAGTGCGATGGGATTAGAGGAGAGGAGAGGAGAGCAGGTAGCTGAAGCAGTAGTAAGTATGTAGAAGAGAAAAAGGGAGGAGAATATGAATAGCATGTGATAGTTGAGATGGGTTTATAGTGTACATTGGAGTTGATCACGAGAAGGTGGTATTGTGAGAGGGGCTGGATTGAGAAGGGGATGGTATCTATATATATATATATGGGGATGCAACGGGTGAATACAGATGATTTGTTTATCTTCAAGAAGGATACCCCGTAGACGAGGTTTTCGTATCATTTCACATAGCTTGATTAATTGATGTGGTGGGCAGAAAAGAGAAATTGATAGAAGACAGAATTCATATACTAGTTGACTATGTTTACTTGTTATTATTGTCTCCATCGCGATCTCTCTTTTTGTCTCTAATCCCTACCTACCTACACAAAGTCCCAAATGCCCATCTACAAACTACCAGAAAATAACTTTCCCAAGGTTCGAGAAATGATTGATGTTAAATATGGTTTCAAATACAGGTGTGAATTTCATCAATCATCACATGATCAAATACCCCAGTCTTCGTGGCTCAGTTGGTTAGAGCGTTGGTCTCATATTCCTATATGAGGTGATTGATAACAATCACTTTAGCCATCCAAAGGTCGAGAGTTCGAGTCTCTCCGAGGACATTTGATTTTTTTGATTTTGGTGCTTTTTTGGGATGTGTCTGTCTGCGAGAGAGAGAGGGAAGGGATATTGTGGGTAGAGAAAGAGGGTAGAGGGGGACGGAACATGTGTGGAATTGTGAGGGTTTGGAATGGAGTTTGGAGTTTGAGATGGAACCACCTCTGGACGGTTTGGTGGAAATAGATGGGTAGATAGATAGATAGGTGGAGAGATAGCATTGGGTGATGATCACACAAGCAACACCATACATTTTGAAGCAAGAACGAAATAGTGATGGAAAATATATGTAGATCAGGGGTATGAGAACAAGGACTTTGATACTCCAAAGTTTCAATGCAGAAAAAGATAGGCCGGCAGACAAGAAATGAAATTTTATCACAATGCACCCACATCTCACCCCGTCTGTAAACTGCAGACTATCTATCTATCTATCGAAGGGGATATTGGATGTTGATAATTTTGTGGTGTGCTGCGATATCAACCAGATGACGAATTTCAAATCATGCTCGTGAGAAACTTCCGCAGAGAAGAAGGCGGTTCAGATCATATTACTGGATCACGAACCGCGCAATGTGTGACGAAATCAATAGCTCAAGATTTCTCCAACAATAGCCTCTATTTTCATTTCCTGAAGTTAACGCGGGTAAATCAAAAGAGACACGCATACATACATACACATACCAGAGCCTATCAAATGGGGAAAAAATAAAATCATAGTAGGGAAGGACTCTCAACCATTGAATCGAAGTCTAACGAGAAAAAGGTAAAGAAGCCGCGTCTATCAAGCATCAACGCGACAACCTCGATGAACGACGCGACCGGATACCTCTTTGGTTCGAGCTTCAATCTCTCTCCAATTTCGGTGTTTCTCAAAATGGATGGGAATTTGGAGATGGGAGAAGATCTTTGCTAAGTTCAGGGGGAGGCTTAGACGGTGGAGCTTGGCTTTTATTTCATGAAGGTCCTGGATGGATAAGATGATGGATAATGAAATGATCGGTACATGGATGATGATGATAAACGAAGGATGGATGTGGAGCATGTGATTTTTTTGAATTTATTTTTGGGAGGAAAGCGAAACAAGGGAGAGGGGAGGAGGAAAGACGTGGATGTTTCGATTTTGGGGACGCTGGAAGATGGGCATAGCATAGGGATGTATGGACGTAAGGGAAACGGAAACGAAAGTTTGCTTGCATGAATGAACGAGTGGAGCTGACAGGACGGGTAGCGTTTTGACATATTGTGTAAATCAGTAAGGTTTGCTGGGTGATGCTGGATAGAAGGGTTCGCAGCATGAAAGATGTAAAAGTAGACGGAAGGGTAATTTTGAGTGCAGAGAAATGCAATTCTACGACAGAGAAGTGTAATTCTACAATTCTCTTGGGCATAATTCACGAATTTGACCAAATGTGTTCAAAATAGAATCATGATGACTATCTTCATCAAGGTCTAGATCCATCAGTCATCAAGGAGATGAAAAGTGGAGCTGGAGGTAGGTAGTTCCGTATACAAGGTGAGGCGATAGTCTGTACGGTCCTTTCTGTAGACTGTAGTAGAACATCTAGTAAGATGAACACTATGAAGGGATTATTAATTTCGAAATTGAGTTTGGGGGTCTCTCAACTTTTGCCGGTTCTAGTCGTCGGGGATTAAATATAATTATTTTGTACATGATGCTCGAGAGTTTAGACTTTGGACACTTTTCACATTCGGTTCTCGGTATGTGTTGTGGGAGCATCCGTCGAGATGGTGTTGGAATTCGGTAAAGTTTAAGAGCTTTAAACTTCTCGCGATGAAGGACTGGTAGGGAATGCAGCAGCGATATAGAACATTGGAACATTACCATCTGGTTTTGTAGGAAGTTAAAACGAATGAAAGTTTTGAGGATAGATGAATTAGCTTTCGAGTAAAGGATCAAAAGACAATATGAAATTTACTCCGAATTTTTAATCTACGTTGAATGAGATTTCGATCTGGTGGCTGTGAAGAAACGTACAGATTCTAGAGCAACGAGTGGCAATGGCAGCTGTGATCAAGCGAGGGGGCATAGTAATTTCCAGTGCCTGGCTACCTACCGGAACGGGCCATTTAATGGTACAGTGTACCAATTTAGGGAATACTTAGCGCTCACGAAAGGATTGTTTACACCTACTAGGTATCCAATGTCATCTACTCCTCTAGGATGAGGTGCCAGTCTGACATACGCAATGGATGCAGCTTTGTAGTTTGTTTGTTTGTCTGTCTGTCTGTCTGTCTGTATGCGGAGATTCGGATATCAGAGGATGGGGTCCTATGAATGGAAGAATTTCAATGTACAGTATAATATTCTAAGAATAGTTTGAATTCGGATGTTTGTGGTAGACTGTCTCAAGACAAACAGTAGTAATTTCGGGGTGGTAATCATCGAATGATCTATCTGTTTGGCTGAAGCCTTATGATGTAAGGTAATTGTAAGACGTCTCACTCAAACCTTATGTGCTACATGAGATCAAGCTTGTGCGGTTATTCTCATGTTCAGTCTACACAGCATTGGCAACGTAAGAAGCGTAATCGGAGACGAGCGTAATCGCTGTGGATGCTGCATATCTTCAAGATGGCATGCTCATCGGGCTGAATACTACCTGGTTACCAATGATGTGATGGGTGCAGTAAGATGACTATTTGGCTGCTTATTGTTCAGCGCAATGGTCGTATGAATAGATGAATCCTTCCGTTGATGATTGGACGATTAAGCACGATTACACCAAAGACTTGGATATTGATAATATGATATTGGGCAAAGAGAAGCATGAATGTTACCGTATGAATCTTTGATACGTTCAACGTTATCCTCGAAGAAATAAAGGGTTGCATTACTGCACCTCTGTTAATCAGGGGTAATGGGACTGTCGGCAAAGAGAAGATCAGATCTATTGGTCCCTGTCTTCCCTATCCTTCCTTTCCTATCCACTCACTCATTACTATTGATGTGGCATATATGCACGTTGGCGCGCACACGCAGAGTTTCGGCAGAGAAATCAACAGATGATAGTCCTGTTATTGAGTTTATTGGCTTAGAATGAAGCGGTTGACGATTCATAATTACTGTGGAAGGGAACAATATGAATGTGAGCCAAAGATTGGATGGACAGAACATCGAAATTTTGGATTGCGTTAACTGATGATCCACCCTAAGAAGCGTCTGACCAATCACAATGGAATCGTACCTGAAAGGGATTCCGCTTCCATTCCATCTATCCACTTCTCCTGACGGACTATTCTCCTTTGGTAATAGTACAAGGTTCGTCCGTCCTCAGGTACTAACTCCAAGTGAGTAGCGCGTCCATTTTTTTCTGTCCTCACATCCTTATCCTTGTTCAACGGTAGCAGTCACTACCAATTTGAGTCAAAACTCATTTTCCCAAGTGAAGTGAAAAGAGGAAGAACTAAGCACAAATGAAGAATGATTCTGGTGAATGGTAAATTCTATTGTTTACTATTATTGCTAAGGGTAAATCTTAATTCATAGTCTACCACCTCTCCATTGGATCTCAATTCTTGATCGAAAGACTTTCTATCTCAAAATCTGAAGAGGAAACCTAATTCTCCTCCTCTTCCACCCCCAGCTTACTCCTCAATTTCAATCCCGGACATCATTAAGCCCAATTACTACTGTGATCGTTTATCTTTCACAGTCGGGGGTTCAACCTCTTTCGACCCTTCTGATCCATTCCATCTCCCATACCTCGTTTCCCCCCTTCGAACCAAACCTCTTCCAGTGGCCTTCCTTGACTGCACATCTTTTTCCTTTTCTTCTTCCGGTATTCATCTAAACCCTAATGTTTTGATATTGCCATCTGGGCCTTATAGAAAGAATGGCGTCCGTCGCAGATATACAACCAGAAGCTCACCCCTCAACTCCTGATTCTGAGACTCATTACGCTTCGAATACTCAATTGAATCCATCTGATCTCACGGACTCAACCACCCCGGTCACCATTCCACAGCCAAATCCACATGAAAACCAACATCGGCCAAATCCTCGACCAAAGAATCCTACATATTCGCAGCTCTCACAAACACAGTCAGCCACAGCCCGATCGCGCGCATATTCAACAGCTTCCACGTCGTCAGTAAATTCCGTTCGTCGCAAACCTTTACCTGTAAGTGCCTCGCCTTTGGCAACCAGGTTTTCCACCAGGTATTCCACGGCGGAATACTTCAGTCCATCTATCGAAGAATTGCCAGAGCCGGATCTTCCATATTCTAGGTATACGAATGTTGCCGATAGTCCAACACTTTACGAATTTCCATCGGATATAAAAAGCGCTTTGCCATTTTCCCCAGAAAGTTCTAGCAATAGAAATTCCATCCGAAGTTCAATAAGAAGTTCAAGGAGCTCCAAAAGTTCTAAAAGCTCTAAGAGTGTTTCGAAACAAGAACGTCCATCATCAAAGTATGTTTACTAGGCATTCACTATTTCTAACATCTGATCAAACTCATTCACTGTTTCACGTTGATGCTAAGGCTGCTTAATTAGGAGATTTTCGAGCGAACAAATCGCTTGGACTTCAGTGACGCCAGCGCTACCAGAACAACCAACAGATAACGAAGAACAAATCCTTAGTCCAAAAAGTCCGAACCTTTTAGTCCCGTCTCATACACGTCCACCGGGAGCCTCGAGGCATGAAAGATTGGTTAGCGATTCGCCATTAAGTTCTGATTCTGAATCTACCGGTCATTGGTACGGGGATTCTAGTCCAGGAAGTCGTCCGGGTTCTGCTACTATGTCCATTTTTTCATCCAAAGCTACACCACCACATAATATTATACCTAATGCTCCGGCACGAACCTATACTCACGAATCTCACGACTCTACATCAACTATACATAAACCCAAATCACCGGGGAAACTTGGTTCTTTCTTTAGTAGCTGGGGAGGTGCCGTATCCCCATCGAGTTCAACGACAACCTTTTCGGAAGATAAGGCAGATTATTCACCAAACTCACCCATACCGTCGTCAAATGCATCGCCGCATAAACTTTCTGAATTTGAAGACTCCCATTCGAGGACTCATACTAAAGCGCCACCGGCCGCGATCGATATTCCCAAAGCCAATGCAGATGCTGCCCATTACTTCGAAAACGCATATCTACAAATACCCATAGCGACGCCTAGTCCGCCGCCTTTACTAGTTGAAGAGATGGAGCGAGAATTGAAAGAAATCAGCCAAGAGCTAGCATCTTCCATACGAAGGGAGATGGACCTGGAAGATCTTGTAGACAGGTTACAGCTCGAGGCCCAAAATTCAGGAACAAATAGTAGCAAGCGAACAAGTGATTATTTTTCAGATTCTGGAACAAGTGTGATTCCCAGATATGGAGAACCCGATCCTAAGCAGGATGAGCTTGATCGAATACAGAGGAAGACAGAGCAAGAGAAGGCTTCTATCAAATTAGAGCTTACAGATAAGCTACAAGACGAGAGAGCTATAAGAAAGCAACTCGAAACACAAATTCGATCTCTAGAAGAAAGAGCGGCTCAGGTAGTTTCTCTCGATTAAAAAGAAATGAATACAACTAACATAGTGGCTTAGGTTGATCTTGCAGCTATAAATTCAGTGGATGCCAATGGGCGACTTAAAGAGTTGGAGGCAACTTGTGAGGATCTTCGACGCAAACTATCCGAAGAGAAACAGATCAGGGAAAACTTCGAAGATCTTTTGACTGCACTCAAAGCAGATCTTGAAACCTCACATAACGAGCGTGACAATTTACGAGATGAAATTGTGCCTCAACTCAAGGCACGTGTTGAAGGGCTCGAAGCACAAGCTGCAGAACATGAAAAGTTGACCTACGAGCAAAGCAAGATGAATCAAGAAATTCAAATTCTCAAGAAGGAGAATACCACATTAATCAATGCCCAAAGGCTACAAATGGAGATGAACCAGTTCAACTCCCTCTCGGAAGAAGACAACATAAGCAATCTACCCAGGTCGAGATCATCCATAATGAGCATTGGTGGCATCGGTGGACTCGGTGGTTTGAGTGGTGGTCTAGGTGGCTTGAAACGGGCCAACTCTCTCGCACACACTGGCAAAACCGCTAGATCACCTGGCTTATCTAGGACAACATCCGTCAAGACTGCTGAGTCCAGAGAAGCTTTGGCAGAACGAGTAAAGGATATTGAACTCCAACGAGATTCTCTACATCGTGCTCTTAAAGTTTGCTTGAACGTCAAGAGCACCAGAATCGTGAAAATGAAAAGAAAATCCGCCAACTGGAAATGGAAAGAGATCGTGCTATGAACCAATCTCCGAGGCGGCAAGGATACGATAAGGAAGTTTCAAATCTTAGAGAGGAAATCAATACCCTTCGTCGCCGTGCTGATGAAGCAATTGAGCAGAAGTGGCAATGTGAAAAAGGTCTAGGTGGTTTGAAGATGGATCTCGATCGCGCTGAACAGGAAATCGGCTCACTACGAAGCTTGTTACAAGAGAAAGACATATTAATCAAACGATCTAGCACAGATTCTAGACCCGGCAGCTCACACGCAACCTCCGAGACACTTGAGCGATCGTACCGGGATCTTCAAGCGGCTTACTCAGCTTCCCTGGAGCGAATCAAGGCCCTTGAAATCTCAGCCTCTAGTGACGAGGATACTGCGAGAGCTATGGAGCAGTTGGAGAAAAGCTTGTCTGACGCAATTACTGAAAGAGATGTTGTAAAGCAAGAGCTTGAGGCAGTCAGAGAGCAATCGGAATCTTTGAGAGATTCTGAGAAGGTACATCTTCAAGAGGAGATGCAATTGGCAGATGAGCTACGTGAATCAGCCAGACGAGTCGAGGAATTGGCTGGACAAGTCAGACTGCAACTTGCTTCAAATAGCACTCTTAGACAGCGTCTAGCTGACGCTATTGAGCGAGGAGAGAAGGAGCAGAAAGCCAATGCGCAAAAGATCACATTCCTTCAAACCAAGCTCAGGGCTCTTGAGGAAAAGCTTATAGCTGCTCAGAATATTTCTGAGGTAAGAATTGCTCGTCATGAAGATGAGATTCGTGATATCACGGACAGCCATAATATCCAGCTTCTTCGCGTGAAGTCGGAACTCCGTTCACCTCGTTCGTTCGGGCCTAAATCGCCAATGTCTCCATTGTTCGCAAATGCGAAGAAGGTACCGCGTCTTTCTATTACCACATCCGGAAAAGGAATGTCGGTATCCGAGGACTCGAAGGTTGAGGTTTTGAGGCAACAAGTTGTAAACCTTGAAGCTGCTCTTGCAGAAGCAGATAGAGAGATGGAGGAAGTTGTCGGCCGTATGAATATCGCACAGATCGAAGTAATGGAACTACAGAACGAAAGAGAAGAGGCCGTACGTGAGACGAGAAAATTACAGAAGACGATTGAACAAGAAAGATTGAGGGCTTTCGAGGGGAGATTTGCTACTCTTAACTCGTCATCATAATGAATCTAGGGATGTTGAGGTTGAGGGTGGTTTTAAGATTGTTTCATCAAGCGGCTTTAGCGTTTGTCAGTCTGGTGATGATTTTCTATCAGCATTTTTACTTTGTTGATCACCCAAGAGCTCCGGAATTGATGAGTCTCAATGGATGGGTGAATATGGAGTTTTATTTATTATTGATTGGCATTATTTTTTTAGTCATTGACAAAATGCATCAAATGGGATGGGCCAATTTGGTGGCTTTTACATCATATTATATATACTAAGGTCGACAGACGTCTTGGTGGAGTCGAATGGTATCTTATCTAATATTGTTTCCAAGATGGTGGGACAAATGATGAGTTGTGGTCAAGGAAAGGGAGATGGTTGTAATTATTTTGGTAATAGGCCTCGTTGGGACACAGGGGTAGATACATATGGGTATAGGGATAAATGGGAAGCGGCGGCTTATATGATTATTTGTTGTATACTGTACATACTGGATTTTTAGATACCAGATGGTACGATGGGGATAGGAAGAAGTAGTTGGTTGATTGCAAGTAACTTACTTGGTCTTGGAATCAAATGGAATGAATGGATCGTGTTGAACTAACTCCTTGGGTCTTTTATTGCAGTGATTTCAAACTTGTGATTTTTTGCTTTGAAGTTGAGTTGTTGGGGTGCCATCCACTCGGAGGTTTCCTCATCTCTTTAGAGACTTGGACCGCAAGCTACTATAAATGTCCATACGAGGTCCACACTAACCCTCATACATAGTCTTCGAAAATGATTAATATATTTATTCCTTAAGATTATGTATTAGAAAAGATATATAGTATTTGTTATCAATTTGTAATCAATTCCGATTATATTCAAATTATCATAAACTTTATTTAGGTTTTGGACCTATATTACAAGCATCAAGATTCTAACACACAAACCTTCATAATAGTTTGCTGTAAGAGTTGCATCACTCTGTCGAAATTGCAACGATTAGACTAAGAATGGGTGCCATCAGGCCTTTGCAATAGGGTGCGTAGAGAAAATGGAACCTGCAAGTCTTCCTTCTATCTGGAGAAGTCTTTAGCGTGTATTGTATACAGTCGAATGGGCAGAGTGAGAATTATGTTTTCCTGAAGTGGCTGTGATGCACAGCCTGGATTTGGGCGTGATCAAGCCTTACTGTCCACCAATCGAGAAGTACCCCTCAGCCTCATCGGTAAGATTGTAAAGGAGGAGAATTCATTCATGTTTCTCATGATCTGATCGCTTTATCCATCTCATCCTTTCGGATGATACTAAGATTGCATCGATTGGCGTGTCAACTCAAACAGGGGCGTCCCCTCCAACTTCGACAGGACAAGATCTCGTTGTGTCCTCGAGTGAGCCTCTTGCAACTGATACTTCTCTAAGCAACCCCGTATCTCTTCCTTCCTCTGGAGCAGATGATTTGAACGCCGATCCGGGGATTCCAACACCACAAGTTCCACCTACAAAATTAGTTTCCAAACGAGCTCTGTGGGGTTGGTTGAAACACACAGAAATCAAAACTAGCCCGTGAACGCTGATTATTACATTTATCGGTCTTGTCGCCGCAGTAATATATGGAACCTCTACTTGGATACAATCGAGCACTGCTGCTGATTCCACAGCAAAAGCAACCCGGTTAGCTCTATTCACCACATGTGTATCCTTTCCAGATCAGCCGGTAGGTCGCAAGTCACAATTTATGTCGTGTGACTACACATTAAAATATACCTTGCTGATCAAATCTAGAATATCGTGAATTCAACTTTGTGTAGAGCGAACAACAATGCTAGCTTAGCTGGATTTGCCAAACGCAGCACAGCAGCCATCAGTCCGCCGGCACTATGGGATATTGATGTGTTTGCAGACGCTCTACAAATTGTGCAACCTGCTTGGCAATGTAAAGCTGTGTGTGGACAGGAAAGAGTGCTTCATACGCCAGACTTGACTCTGGTGCTCTCTTTTCCGGTATCGACTGGCGAAAATTGTCACCTCGACTGTCTTGAACCTACCCAGACTACGTTTTGGCCGAAGAGATTCTCTCATAAACGATTTGAGACATTACTTGCTGTAGTCTCCTTCACAATAGTTTTGTTCTTCTCTCGAAAGTGTCTTACAGAAAGCACTCTCAACATCACTGTCGCTGTCATCACGTACATGTGTCTACTATTATGTATGGCCTTATTTATATCCGGAAGACTTCACATTTTATACCAGCGCGCGCAGCTTGCATACGGAGTCATCAATACAACGGTTTCAACAAGTCTCATAGGAGTCATCACAACATCACTATTTCACCGATTCTCTAGCTTAGGGTTGAAATCACCTATTTGGCTTAAAATGGCAAGCTGCATTCTCTCGGCCTTCAACGTCTTAGAGCATGGGCCGTTTACCACTTATACTGCACTTCTACTGATCACCCATATTTTCGACCTTGACTTGCAATACCTCTTTTGTTTATTCTATTATCGGCTTTTCAAAGGACAACGCTTTCGATCTCCAGGACAATTAATATATCTAGTGCTCTGCACTCTCTTATATGTAGGGTGTGGAATATTGTGTGTTGTGATACTATTTAGCCCAGTGCTCTGCATTCTCTTATACCTGAAACTACTGGGTCAGTACGAAGTACTATAAGCAGTAGTGAAGGGGTTTCAGGGCACAGTCCACAACCATCTCATTTTATCAACAGTCTAACTGAATCCCAGAATCATATGAACCGATCCAAGCTTGAGCAAGCTGACTATGCATTATAGTGATTTTGATTAACTGGATATCTGATTACATAATCGAAGATTATATATAATCGAAAGTGAGAATGGTGTTGGTGCCCTCTCGCTCTCGAACCAGCCCTCCGAGTTCCAGGCCCTATGTGCATTGCACACGCCATTTATGTAGGGTGTGGAATATGGTGTGGTGTGATATCATTGATCCTAGGTCTTGGTGAATCCATGAAACGACCGTCAAAAGTCGGCGGCAAAATACGGGAAACTGAAGAAAAGGTATTATTGGTTGAAGTAGCTGTTGATGAAGATCTAAAAGAAAGTTGGGAGAGAAGCTTCTATAACTTATACAGAAAATACTAGCTAATGTGGCTATTAGAGCCGATGACGTGCTAATAAAGTTCGTGCGCCCTCACAAAATATATCTGGTTCCTTGGATTTTGATATTTACTTTAAAACAAGTTATATTGTTTTTTCTTTAATACCATTTGGATATTCCTGTTTCGTTCGTTTGTTTGATTTTTTTTAGCTTTACTCATTTTTCTTCTTCTATCATTTTTGTGTAACTGTTGGAATATATTGATATAGTGGAATAAAAAAATAAGATCATTATATAATCTCTCATCAAGAGCTAAGGAATACGCAGTCGTATTTCTCAACTTGTCACGGAAATCCCCGTATCACATGGGCATTATGTGATCTACTCCCTGTAATCCATTGAGAGAATAGTTTATTGATTACAGAATGTATCTTGTCTTTCTTATATATACATTATGATTACACTTCAAGTTAAAAAATAACTATTCATGAAATGCAAAGAATTGAATTCATGTTAGGGAAGAAGGGTGGAAGTAAAGAGAGAGAAAGCAGATTAGGGAAGAACTACAAGCTGAGCGGAGAGTAGATAGTTTGACTTTCATTCGAGATACTTACTTTCTATGTACACGTTATTCCAGAAAACAATATCATCATGTTCCCATTTGAATTATTGGATTCAGGCTTCGTGGTAGTATTCCGTTCCTAGTGAATTGATCGTTGAGCTTGCGCGCTCTAGCCCCCCTCGAGCCCCCTTGCCCCACACGCTATTCATTCGCTTCGCTTAGCTTGATGAAAGTGTAATTAGATACTTATATCACTACAACGCAACCGTTGGTATCACCTCGGTGGTGGTTATGACGTCTTCATAATAAGTCTAATGCATTGATTGATATTGTATCTATTCTATTCTAGGTTCTAGAGCTACGAGAGCTATATGTAATACGTTTGTACGCTAGTACTAGCGTGTGCGATCACGTGCATATTCACTCGTATCGCAACAGCAACTCATCGTACTATCTATTTGTTTCTATCTTTGTTCTTGAAAGACGTATTTACTCTCATTGATCTGATCTATTTGAATGGTTGGTTTTATCGATGTGCTATTCCTCACACCTTATACTACGTTTTGTTGACGTCAAACTCTCGTCTCTGATATTCAAGATCATAGTAGTTAAGAGGGTGTATGATAGGTTGTTAGAGGTATGGCAAAGAGGAGATTGAATGAAAATTATCTGTCATGTATGAAAGCAACGAACATGGGCATATTTGTCACAATGTCAGAAAGTATTAAGAAATAGACCAAAAAGTAGGACTCCACTCTGTTCACTTCATGTGGGACAAGAAATTCGTTCGACAGCATAATTATATAGCGACAAATATACTCCATTGAGCTTTGATCGACAACCGAGTCCTCACACAAAAGAAGTTTATACCAGATACTTTTCAAATGTGTATCAATCAACAGCCCTTTATATAACTATTCAAAATCATTAATCTTTCATCGCCTGCTCGTTCATTTTGTCGTCAGCAGTGAATCCCTGGAGATCTGACCTCTTAACCCGTTCTTCTTTGTCTCGTGCTCGTTGTTTTTGCTCTGCTGCGCGCTCAGAAACTTTGTCTCGCTACTTATCCTCCCTTTGTGGTGGGAATTGAAATTTTCTCAAAAAGGCGTCATCCTTCTCAAGACTGAGCAGAGCTTGACTAGAAATTGTTATTGGGTCTCAATTTTCATCAGATTCGACAAGCCGGACACACCCCAGGGTGCTCCCAAGAACGCCGTTTACGCTCCCAGGCACGATAGTACTCTTTTTGCTGCTCAGTCAAAGCGCCGAACCAAGGTTGTGATTCGGCTGGAAGAGGTCCACGTCTTTTCTCCTCCGTGGGAGCAGGAAAAGATGTCTCGAACTCTCTCGCCTTATGTCTTGCCAATTTTTCATCCCTCGCTGCACGTACAGCGAACTTTTCTCTGAACTTCTTCTCGGCTGTTGGTGGTAATCGAGTTTTTCTGAAATATTCTGCAGTCACAACGCTCGCGGAAGATCGTGATCGTTCGCGAAGGGGTCCACATTTCTTTTTAGTCGTGAGAGTGGAACAAAAGGGCTTGGTTGCTTTTTCGTCTTCTTCAGAAGAGTAATCCAGGATTGTAGATTGAATTTCAATATATTTATTAATTTCTACATTATCTGTTCCGCTTGGACTGTGTAAAGGAGCAGGCGCCGCATTTTTAATGCCGCGGTCATTTTCGCAACTTCGAAAAAATTGGATTCGCCCTGAACGTTCGAGGACTTAAGTGCAATTTCTTCTTTTTGAAAGAAAAGTTCATTTCCATCTGTAAATTAACGAGCCTGCGAGATCGTACAATAGAATGAAATTTAAATACGATTTGTCTATTCAAGGATATCCCGCCTTGTGGAAAACACAAGAAGATTGACTTGCGGGTTGACCTGGAAGAAACACAAGTTCAAAGATATAAGGAAGCTATATGGCAATAAATCCTTGAAAATGATCGAAACTTGATAATGAGAAGCTTGGCAAAACTAAACATGGTGAGTATTCGGATGTGATGTTTGCTGACAGTTGTTACCTGGTATGACTTCAACCTGATTTCTCCGAAGATTGGCATTGGACTGAGCATTCCATATAGATAGAACCAGTACATTATATGAGAAATTAGATCCAGGCGCAAAAAGAAAATGAGATCCGATACGATCTACACCCAAGTCAATGATGGTGATTAACGGTTAATGCATTAATGGAAATGGGGAAAGGATATGGAATTTAAGGAATGTGCATTGAGTTTAAAGGGCTACGGGAATGGATAAGAATAGTGGAAACAACTTGATTCGAGACTTGACGTATATTCAATAAGGCCAAGTAGAACGACTGACTTCTTCCGATTCCGCACTCAAATTTCGACGTTTACAATCTATTCTGGGACTCGTATGATGACCCATCGGACAAAACAATAATCTCTCCGCCACTTTGTCTCTTCTGTATACTATGAGCAATCGAGAGAGGCTTATCATCTTCTCTTAAAGGCTCAGCACAAGGGCAGTCAGTTCAAGCCAAGCACACAAAACTATTCTATTGTTAAGGAGACAATACACCAACTGTCACTTGGCATCATAACTATGTAGCTTTAAGAATGAAAAGTTATCTATCAAATAGTTGAACTGCCGGGGGCTGGATGATTGTGATTGACTCTGACGATCAGCGAGCAAAACAAAAAAAGAAACTATGGTCATACTCTGTACCTGGTTGATTTGCAACCCTTTCGCTATTTTAGCCCGTAAACTATCGTCTTATAGCAGAAATCTTCACACCTATACAGCTTCTCATTCATGAATCCAATTTTCTTCCCTTATTCAACTTGTATCTATTATCAGTGCGTGAACATCGACAAATGTCATGTTCAGACGCAGCACTATCAAAACAACCTCTATGATAATTGAATTTAGCGTACACGAAAGTATCTTAACTTTAACAAATATCAAGCCAAGCCACTTTGAAGGAAAAAGTTTTCAATCCTTCTAACGCCCTCACGAAATTGTTCCCAAGGAACAGCAAGAGTGATTCTTACCCAGCCTTTCTCTTCCTCCGCGCCACCGAATCCTTTACCTGCACTGACTATGACTTTATACTGCTTCAGCCCTTGTACAAGAGTTGCTTCATTTTTCCAAGACCTCGTATTGTTGATGAATTTAGCGAAGACTACAAAGCCCGCATTTGCGGGTAGAAATTCGATACCAAGACGAGTTAAAGTTGAAGACAATAGATCGTATGACTTGGCGAGAAGTTCGTTGTTCTTGCTCAATAAAGTAGGAAGTTCGGCTGAATTCAGGAGGTGTGTGAGTAGAAGAGCGGAGAGAGATGGATTTTGATTGTAAGTCGAAATTATAGATCCAACGCGAACCATAGGATTGGCTTGAGTGATCACACACCCCTGCGCTTTTGTTAGCCATCAGGTATTGTGAGCGTATATTTGACATACCAGTCTGATTCCAGGTAGACCGAACAGTTTACTGGCGCTCCAAAGAACATGGAGCTTGCTTTTATCGAAAGCTGTTCCATCATCGGAGTCTGAATTATCATCCAGTAAAGATAGTGCTGACACGAATTTATCGCTTTGCGTGTCCCCAAACTGTATCCCGCCGTATACTTCGTCGGAGATGTAATGCAATCCTTTTTGCGAACACCACTTCAGTACCGCCTGCAGTGCAGATTTGGAATAACATCTTCCAAATGGATTGTGTGGGTTACAGATAATTAATCCCTTGATACGTTTCGGATTGGCAGCACTATCATAGGCAGCATCGAGAGCAGGGATTAATGTATGTGAAGTAAGAGCTGTATAATATGGTGCCGGATAGACAGGGACAAGTCTGACACCGGCATGGCAGTAGATATACGCGCCGAAGGAATATATTCGGGTCAGTAGAGCAATTTAAAATGACGATAGAAATTTACAGCTTTGCAAACAAAAGGTACGGGTACAAACTCCAACAAGGACCTGGAACAAGAATTGAATCTCCTGGCTCGCAGATACTGGATGCAAGAGCATCAAGACCAAACCCAGCTCCAGCGGTAACGACAAGGTGGTCAGGAGTAACGGGGATCGATGGATCGAAATATGTATTGAAGAATGAGGATAGTGCTTGCATCAGGGACGGATCTCCCCCTAATCCTTTTGGGTAATTAAAAGTCTATTGGAGATATTCTGAAGTGAGAAATAGATCATTATTTGTTAGAGAGAGGTTACTAACCTCCTGAGTTAGATCTTTTGCAATGGCACTTTTGCAGATTTCGAGTAATTCACTTCGAATAAGTTGATTGTCGGCCACAGACAAGTTGACTAGCTCGGGGTCAGGCTCGGCATGGTCTGCGGCGGCAGCAGCAGCAGCAGGAAGTAGAGTCTGAATGATATCTTTCATACGATTCGATATTGGAGCCACTTGTGTTTCCGCCATTTTTTTGTGATTTCTAGTGTTCAGAGAATTCCTAAAAAGATAACGGGACCTACGACGGAGGAACTTTCATTTACATATCATTTTTCAATCCTTACTATTTGCGTTGGATACACACCTTTGACCTATGATAAGGCAAGGTTAGATAGGTTATTACGCATATGAGTGGGGAAAATGTATTGCTGACCGGGGCCTGGGGAGCGAAGGCCTATAAGATCATGATTTTCCCTTAACAGACTGGTTGAGTTGTACTGAGAAAACGAGACATGATTAACCCCGGGAGATTGTACACCAATTTTGTGGTCACTTTTGAGCCTTAGCTGAACAGGGGAAGTCTGATTCTAACCTTGTGTCTGAATCCACAAATCTCGATAGTCTGAGGGATGCGGGGGTAGTTTTTAAGAGTTATGCATGCGACTATTTAAATCTCACGAAGCATAGTTTTGTACTTTACATAGATGGCTCATGTCAAGTTTAGACACGCCGCTCTTGGCACATGCTCCTATTCATATATACTGGCTTCAACTAACAGGGCAGATTCTAGGTTTAGACAATTTCATATCCTGGTTAATTCTAGAAGGTTGCTACGTGTGTAAACACCAACAAGATTTAAAATTCTACTTTTCATTCTTCTTTTGATGCTTCTTGAATCCTATCGCTCAATGCAGGGGAAGCTGCGGCTTACGCCAGAGTAAGCTAACAACGATTATTTGTACCACTGCTAGCCCAAATATTACCTTTGCAAGAACGTTATATGCATCACCGAATATCGCTCGAACAACATCCTGTGTTGTGGGTGAAAGTTTCGCAATGAATGATATATCTTGCAACAACATATTCAATCGAGACGATGTGAGTATGTGAGATAGTCGAGAGCGTACGAAGTCATTGATAATGCTTCCAGCGACCGCAGTACCAATCACGGAACCAATCACGGAACCAATCATGCGAAATTGAATGATGGTACTAGATCCCACAGCTTTGAGACCTATTAGCCACTGTTTCCAAGCTTCGAATGGCGCGGAAATGAACGTACCAATGTCCCGTGGGTCAATACATTTTGGTGTCGCCAGTATGAGTATACTGAACACTGACCCTGCCCCAAAACCAGCGAGGACTTCGCAAGCATACAGAACATGGGAAATATTCTTTGAAATAGTGATTGTGGTCATGAGTCCAACACCGACGATCTCCACGACGGAGCCTGCAGCTACAAACACGATTGCGGGTTGCTCCTTCATTAAAACGGCAAATACGTTTGCAAAGAAAGAGCCAACGGGCACGGAGAGGCTGAAAGCTAGAAGGTGAATTCCAGCCATCAGGGACGAGTCGACGTTGACAGCTTGAAACCTCTGTGGAAGAATGACCGTTAAGACCGTCATTGGGATTCCTATGAAAAATCCCATGCTACGGGGTATCAGTAGTCATTATTTATGGAAGTGGGCTTGGAAATATGACGCACGCAAGCATCCAGACCCACACACGGTTCTTTACAAATCTCCAAGGAAACATTGGCTCTTGTTGGCTGTTACGACTAAGGTGCCATTCCCACAGAAAAAATAGAATCCATAGGATACCAGACAGTACCAACATCACTATGATCGCTGGCGATGACCATTTGAAACTTGTCGAAGCTTCTAACAAAGCTACTATGAGTAAAAAACATGCAGATAGAAGGAGGAATGCACCGAAGAAATCGATTCTTCCGAAACGGCCTTTTTGATCAATGCTGGAAACGTTTTCATCACGATATGGAAATCTAGCTGGCATCACCAGTTGAAACACTAAGATAGCGGCAGCGCCTATTAGAATACTGCAATACAATAAATTTTTAGCACGGGATGTTGGAAAATGACAAGATTCAGGAATTCTGAAACCACCGTAACATACTTGACGAGGAATATCCATCTCCAAGTAGACCCCGTATCAATCGCCCCGCCTACAAGTGGGCCGATGACAGTGGCTAGAGCTACGATAGTAAATGTTATACCTCCATATAATGGTAATTTCGAATTGGGAACGAGTTGATAGAGCTTCGGGAGTTGACTGACTACGACTTGGTTCACAGGCGTGCGCTTAAAAACTGGCCCCACTCTGCTTTATTATCTAAATTCAAAGTCCTGAAAGCCCCTGATTGGCTCGCTACTAAGACAACGATCTCACTATTGCATCTACCAAGCATCTAATGCGCATCTCTCTCCACATCCTTTTTTTGTGAAAAATCCTTTTGAACGACGATACTTGACTTTTGTGACTCTGTGAGACGATGGAAGTTGTCTCCATTTCCGGTTATACTGAGGTGTTGGATTGCCAAAGCTTTTTGTGGGTGGAGTTGAATACTAGATCCATCTTCTGGATGCAAATTGCCCAAATTGCCGACACTCGATGCCGAACCATTTGATCTGTTTGTAACATTTCGCCTGAGGGTTTGCATGAGACTTGAATTGGCAGCAATATCCAGCAAAGGTCGACATCTTGAGAGACAAGCAGAAACCAAATAACACCCAGACTCGGCCAGACTCGGCCAGAGTGGCCATGAAGAGTTTATCTGCTTGCCATGACGGATCGGGATCGAAATCGACCTTGAAAAGGATTGCAAAGCGTACAACCGAGGCAACAAGCCCTCTAGAAACCTAGATGTTAGTATAGTTCATCAAAGCAAATATATTGTAACTCACAAATCAGCAATCAAGAAGGTCAGGCTCAGACCCACTTTGAGCCGTGTCGGGCACTGAAGCTTCCAGATAATTGGCAATGGCAAAATAAGCATTGCTATATCTGTGAGTATACTAGGAAGGGTGGAATAGGTTTGGAATGAATCTCGATCAAGGCATTTAGGATCCTCGATAGTGACGTCCCAGTATGCGCTGATAGGACTGCAAAGAAATATGAGGATAGGTGTTGAAATGACGCTGTAAAGGATCAGAATTACAGCGAGGACCAAAATAAAGATTCTTGTGCGTGTTCCAATGAAGATTCGATAGTATAAATTCCAAATGGCAAGTTTTGGGATGTTGATCGATGTCAGGTAGATGATCCTGAGAGCATATAAATCCTTTTGCCACCTGATAAGCCTGTCAAGAGCATTGTACTCGAGCCATTCCAGATGATGCCCAAGCCCGCCTTTGACGATTGAATCTGTACAAAAAAGAGTTGAATTAGGTAATTGATATTATGGATTCCAGAAGGTTCCTACTGGAATGGAAAAATCGTAAAGTATTAGAATTCTAGATCTCAGGATAGGGATGCCTTACCAATAGTACACAAAGCTAAACCAATCTGCATAATAAAAGATATAATGATCAAAGCATCATCTAATCCCCGAGGAACTTTGCTTATACCACGAGAGACAAAGCGTGCGAGCACACAAATTGTTTGAATTGCCAAAAAGATGGAGGTGAAAACTAAGGCCTGCTGCCCATCTGATTTTGCATTCATCACCAATGGCGGAATTTCTGTGGAAGATGACATACTGATGCATAAGTAAGAGACTGATAGATTTTCGAGTGATTATAGAGACCATTCTACTAAGATTCGAAGAACTTTGAAAGCTATATAGGCCATGCTAAGAACGAACTTGCCAGATTGGATCGAAGGATTCAGACCCCCTAAGCCATGCTACGCCAATTGCAAGTAAAACGATACTCATTTTTCGGAAGTCCTTCTCATTCTGAATTTTTCAGTCATGGAAGGTTGCACTGAGTATTACATGAGACGAGGAAATATACATAGAGGCCTAGTGACTGGGTCCAGGATCAAGAACGATTCTTGCATCTCACTGTAACTAGGGTCTCAAATTGTCACTATGGAACTAGAGACAAGCTGGTTTCTTTAACAGCTTTTTCTTGAAAATAGGGGGTTAGTGTCTCGTCGTGTTACAGTGCAGCTGGATTGATCTCTTTATTGATTTGTTGTGATATTATATTCTTAATTGTAAAAACTCATATTAAACTCTTTTCAAACCTTAATTCTTCTAGAGTCGAGATGAAAGTGGATATAAAAAGTGCCTATTTGAGAAAATATTCCCCAAAAATTATTTGGAAATAAAAGAAATAAATAACAATCTAGAAATTATCCAAAAGGGCCTAGTGCGAGTTCTTACAACTGAGACTATGTAGTATAAAAGCTATAATAACAACCCCAGATAGGAATATTTCATATATCAGTGTTATAATTAGTATTCCAGTTAGTTATCTCGGCCTGAACTGGTATGTATGATATTTTAGTTTTTCCTAATATTGCTATTCTAGTCTTTTTTAAAATGACATTTTTGGCTTATTTTCATTGATTTTTCTATCTTATTTTAATCTCTTGAGAATACATAGAACCCAGAAAGTATTACAGGGAGATTTGTATTATCTTCGAGTTTTAAGATCGGAATATTACAATTGTATAAATTTATATCGCACTTCTGGCTGCATAAATTATCTCTGGAGTATTCCCAAAGCATTTAGCCTTGCCGCTTTTCCTGATACATGATTTTGAACGGTCATGTAATTTGATTCAACTTATTTTCATGCAAAAATTTGGTTGTGTAGACTACATATCACCTCACTCGAGGAGATTAGTGTAGGTTCTCATCCTCTTCCTTTTGGAAGGTCAATAGACACTAGTCTTTTCTCTGTCCTGAAACTGAAATACAAGCTTTTCTTGCTTTGGATCACCCTCCATTGTAAATTTTACATCCAAAGAACCTTGTCGGATTTGAATTTACAATCATATATTGCTATGCCTGGCGGACTTTTGTTCTTGACAACCTATATCCATATACCAAACTCCATCATTGCAAATGCACGCTTCGCTTTCCTTCCAATTCCATCCTTAACAAATAAGATATTCCCTTTTACATTCACCCTTCTTCAATGGCCACACAACAATGCTAGTTTCAATCACTATCCTCCCCATTATCCAGCGCCTCGTCATCTAACTCTTTTTCTTCTGGCTCTTCAACATCAAACTTCTCTTCTCCGTCATCATCTTCCCTTGCTTCACCCTCCCCTTCT